ATGCACTCGGTAGGCATAACGAGTACTAGGTCATCCAAAACACGCTGTAAAACACAACCTTACTTGACCTGTATGAAAAACACTGGGACCAGTAGAAAAAACACTGGGATTCTGCGCCAAGCAAGCGAAGGCAACGCATGATAGTGCCCAGATGTACTTGGAAAGTTCAACCAAGCAGATCACTTGCAGTACTTCCACCGTATACACAGCTCAGAGTGCAAAACTGCTGTAATTCTTTTTCTTAGCTTCCTATAAATCTATTATTTTGGAGCAAAATAACCGATATCGCACGATGGTTCCTAAGGCAGCCAATAGTGCCACATGGTCAATTAAAGGGGCCCAGAAACACTTTTTCAAGTAACCGTGGAATGAATTCGATGAAAGAGCTTATTGCCTCACAACGCTGAAAAAAATTTTAGAAATACGCCCAGTGGGAGTGGAGTTACAAAGGTTTGTTGCATGCTGCAATTGCATTCTCTCTTCTCTTGTCCCGACGAAAGCGGTGGAAGCTAAGCAGGGCCACTGTAAAACGTTACGCGGGCCTCGTGACCTTTAACACTTTTTCTTCCCCAATGGTTCACCAATGGTTGACACCAAATTCACCAATGGTTGACAGATGGGCTTGCTACGTATGATTTTTGGGTATATGCTGTGGTTTGTCGAGAGAAGAGAAAGCAATTTTCAGCTGACTTTCATAATTTATTGGGAATTCCAGGTCGCGTGCTGCACTATATTATTTGGCTTGTGTGTTGTCGGGAGCCTCTACTACCAATCAGCAGTGTTTTCTGACCATGTCAAAACACGCTCCATCAAAACACGCTGTAAAACACAACCTTACTCAAGCAGTACAAAAACCACTGGGATGCTGCACCAAGCAAGCGAAGGCAACTCATGATGGAGCCCAGATGGGCTTAAAAGTGCAGCCAAGCAGATCACTTGCTGTACTTTCACAGTATACACAGCTCAGAGTGCAAAATCTGCTGCTACTTTTGCTTTCCTAGCTTCCTATAAATTTATCATTTTGGAGCGAAAAAAAGAAAAGAAGCTAATGCTCTGTTCATAACTTCTGTTTCCATGATGTTTCACTGATATCGCACGTTGATGCCTATGGCAGCCAATAGCGCCACGTGGTCACTTGGAAGCCCAGGAAAACTGCGATTGTGAATCATCATCATCATCAGCCTGACTACGTCCACTGCAGGACAAAGGCTTCTCCCATGTTCCGCCAGTTAACCCGGTCCTGTGCTTGCTGCTGCCAATTTATACCCGCAAACTTCTTAATCTCATCTGCCCACCTAACCTTCTGTCTCCCCCAACCCGCTTGCCTTCTCTGGGAATCCAGTTAGTTACCCTTAACGACCAGCGGTTATCCTGTCTACGTGCTACATGCCCAGCCCATGTCCATTTCTTCTTGATTTCAGCTATGATATCCTTAACCCCCGTTTGTTCCCTAATCCACTCTGCTCTCTTCTTGTCTCTTAAGTTTACACCTACCATTTTTCTTTCCATTGCTCGCTGCGTCGTCCTCAATTTAAGCTGAACCCTCTTTGTAAGTCTCCAAGTTTCTGCTCCGTAACTAAGTACCGGCAAGATTTAGCTGTTATATACCTTTCCTTGAGGGATAGTGGCAATTTACCTGTCGTAGTTTGAGAGTGCTTGCCAAATGTGCTCCACCCCATTCTTGTTCTTCTAGTTACTTCAATCTCGTGGTTCGGCTCCGCGGTTATGACCTGCCATAAGTAGACATAGTCTTTTACAACTTGAAGTGCACTATTACCTATCTCGAAGCGCTGCTCTTTTCCGAGGTTGTTGTACATTACTTTCGTTTTCTGCAGATTCATTTTAAGACCCACCTTTCTGCTCTCCTTGTCTAACTCTGTAATCATGAGTTGCAATTCGTCCCCCGAGTTACTCAGCAATGCAATGTCATCGGCGAAGCGCAGGTTACTAAGGTACTCTCCATTAACTCTTATCCCTAGCTGTTCCCATCCTAAGCTTCTGAAAACCTCCTGTAAGCACGCGGTAAATAGCATTGGGGAGATTGTGTCCCCCTGCCTTACACCCTTCTTGATTGGTATTCTGTTGCTTTCTTTATGAAGCACTATGGTAGCACTTGATCCCCTGTAGATTTCTTTCAGGATGTTTATATATACTTCATCTACGCCCTGATTCAGCAGTGTCTGTATGACGGCTGATATTTCTATTGAATCAAACGCCTTCTCGTAATCTATGAAGGCTATGTATAGTGGTTGGTTATATTCTGAGCATTTCTCTATTACCTGATTGATAGTATGAATGTGGTCGATTGTAGAGTAGCCTGTTTGAAATCCTGCTTGTTCCTTTGGTTGATTGAATTGTAATGTTTTCTTTACTTTTTTAGCAATTACCTTTGTAAATAGCTTGTATACTACAGAGAGCAAGCTAATCGGCCTGTAATTCTTCAAGTCCTTGTCATCTCCTTTCTTGTGTATTAAGATGATGTTAGCGTTCTTCCAAGACTCTGGTACTCTTCCCGTCAGGAGACACCTCGTAAACAGGGTGGCTAGTTTTTCTAACACAATCTGTCCTCTATCTTTCAGCAGATCTGATGTTACCTGATCCTCACCAGCAGTTTTGCCTCTTTGCATGCTCTCCAAAGCTTTTCTGACTTCTTCAATCATTACTGGTGGGGTGTCATCTGGGTTACTGCTAGTTCTTATAGTATTAAAGTCGTGGTTGTCCCTGCTACTGTACAGATCTCTGTAAAACTCCTCCGCTATTTCAACTATCCTATCCATATTGGTAGTTATTTTGCCCTCTTTGTCCCTTAGTGCATACATCCGATTTTTGCCTATCCCAAGTTTCCTCTTCACTGCTTTGACGCTTCCTCTGTTTTTCAGAGCGTGTTAAATTCTCTCCATGTTATACCTTCTTACATCGGATACCTTACGCCTATTAATCAACTTCGAAAGCTCTGCCAGTTCTATTTTGTCTGTTGTACTTGAAACTTTCACTCACGATTTGGCGCTTCTTAATGAGATTCTTCGTTTCCTGGGAAAGCTTGCCAGTGTCCTGTCTAACTACCCGGCCACCAACTTCCACTGCACACTCCGTAATGATACTCGTCAGATTATTATTCATCGTATCTATGCTAAGGTTGGTTTCCTCACTAAGAGCCGAGTACCTGTTCTGAAGCGAGACTCTGAATTGCTGTACTTTCCCTCTCAGTGCTAGCTCATTGATTGGCTTCTTGCGTATTAGTTTCTGTCGTTCCTTTCTCAAGTCTAGGCGAATTCGAGACCGTACCATTCTATGGTCACTGCATCGTACCTTGCCAACCACTTCCATATCCTGCACGATGCCTGGGTGTGCACTCATTATAAAGTCTATTTCGTTCTTATTTTCGCCATTAGGGCTCCTCCATGTCCACTTGCGGTTTCCTCGTTTTCGGTAGAAGGTATTCAAAATCCGTAAATTATTGCGTTCTGCGAATTCTACTAGTAGCTCTCCTCTGGCGTTTCTAGTACCGATGCCATAATCTCCTACTGCCTGGTCTCCAGCCTGCTTCTTCCCTACCTTTGCATTAAAGTCTCCCATCAGTATTGTATACTGTGTTTTTACCTTACTCATTGCCAATTCCTAGGCATCAATAATTATAGACTGAGTATTACGGCAAAATATTTCGGAATCGGTATGTCTAATCCTTAGTGAGTCGGGGAAAATTACAGCTGGGCAGCTTCCTATACGTTTCACGACCTCGTTAAGAAAGTTCTGCTAGAAACTCTGTTCTTGACCTTCTCTACTGCTGTGATTCTACACCTACTCGCTCCTTGTGCAACAAACCAGCTCTTGTACAGCTTTGAAATGTATGTGCGTGTGTTCATTCACATACAGCCCTCTCTCCAGTAGTGCCATATATAGTCACGTAATTGGTGCACACTTAAGCTATCACTCTTGATAGTGGGGGAAAAAATTGACTGTGCATGTTTTGCGCTCCTGCTCTGCCCCACAGCGCTGCCTACAAGGCTGAACATTCGATAAAATTGGTGCAATGGCATCATTGCTCATGTACTTCAGGCTGCATACAGAAAAACTTGGTGAAAAAATTTACTCCCTACCTAGAAATGTTGAGTAAACCTCATTGATCATGCTAGTCTCCAAAAGTACCAACTTAAAAAAATATAGTTGCAACAAAATCCCCAGATCAGTTGTTATAAAGGATCTGATCATTAGTGTGTATTGTGATTACGTTTTTTCTGGTTGATTGAGCCCCTGAGTGACTGACGCCAGAATGTGGTGCAGAATAGTCTCCACTTTTTTGGCAAGTTTAGATCGATCCGATCAATCAATTATTCTGACTGAGGCGGGTGTGTGGCTATGCCTGTACCTCTAAGCGTTATAAATGCACAGAGATATGATGGTGGCCTCCAACAAATGCACCAGTATTGCTTATGACAGACAACCCTAGTTCTACAAGCATCGATTGGCTCTGCCGCACATTGGGTACTTATTTTCAGTGAATTTTACAAAAGCTGGACTAGTCCTTATTCTGTCACTATGTCGGCCTTCTTATAGTTTCGAAATGCTCTTTGTAATCCGCACTGTTGCGTTATCCTATGAGTGAGCCAAAGAATTTCTCAATGCTTTGGTAAGAAGAAACAACCTTATAGCACACGATTGTTAATGTGTAGTGCTATGTGTCTTTCGTGAGTACATAATAATGAAGTTATATTGTGGTGCCTAGCATTGCTTGTTGGCGATATTGTCACTGTGCCAAAATAGTGGTGCTTATTATTTATTGCTACCACTGTTGATCTGTTAATATTTGCTGCTTATCGTCACCAATTGTTCTGGCTAGAATCAAGTACAAATAAAATATTTTGTGTAGCACAAGCATGTGCTACTCGGAATGCCCGAGTGAAGACCCCTTTGCTATGAAAGAAGAAAAAATGTGCATAAATATGCGAGTAACTATGCCAGATAGATGAATGTTTTGTGAACATGATGATTTTTCATTGCAGGATGTAATGGTAGTTGGGGAGCCTTCCTTAATGGGAGGAGAGTTTGGAGATGAAGATGAGCGCGTCATCACCCGGTTGGAGAACACCCAGTACGATGCTTCAGCAGCGGCTGCTAACGGCCTTGAAGAGGGTGACGAGTTTGGTGGCGGCCCTCTGGCACCGCCGCCCGGTTGGCAGGGCCCACCGCCTGGGCCACCCCCCGAGCGCAATCCTTCGGCTCCGCCTCCGGGCCCACCGCCACCTCCTGAGGACAAAAAGACATCTCCAAGCATCAGCCAATAGGCGCACCAAGCGTGTGTGAATGTTGGGCCATTTGGGTGGATGGTTCCACCTCCATTTAGAAGTGGTGAAGAATGGCAGGCTTGTGCCCATAACCATCATCTCTTGCTATAGCAGTGTTGCCCTTCACCCCACCCCCCCTCTTTTTTTTAAATCTTCAGTACACTGGCCTGGTCGTTGTTGCCAGTGACAGAAATGTCTGGATGCAAATGTGAAACCCAGACCTGCCAGGTGGCCGAGTAAGAGGGCAAAACTGAATTCTGGTACATAGTATGTTTGCACCCTTCCCGGTCTCCAGCGATCAGCTCAGTGAACATGGGGAGCAGCCTCAAATCGCTCTGGCTTCTCTAGGTCAATTTAAGCATCATTTTCTTTTCAGGTATGCGTGGTGCTGTCTCATTGTCGTGTGCTTTCAGAACTCCGGGAGGGGATGGGAGGGACATGGGGAGAGGGGCAGTTTACAGATGAATGTTTTAAGACTTAAACGTGTGCAAGGACTTCAAGGCCCATGGCATCATTTTGAGCTTTTTTTAGCGGATGAGTGTGAAGACACCTGCAATTGTGGTTGCACTGAAGGGAGCTGGCCATTTTGGTGTTTCTAGATTGTGCAATAAGTGGCAGATTATTTGCAAAAGTTGCTCCTTTCTAAGTTATTCTTGGCATGTTTTATAGGGATCTGTTGTGCTTTTTATGTCTTTAAGGTCCTGTGGTATACGGCACACCAATTTGTTTATAATGGAACATTATGCTTTGGACCAGTTTTATCTCTGTCGTGCACCTTGTGCTTTCACTTAGTGTCTCAACTAGGCATTTTGCACCATTTGTGTTTAGTGACAACGAAGTTATATAGAGCTGTACAAAGGGGTGATTCGACGTAACATTAGTTCATTGTACGTTTGTATGCTGAACTGATGTAGGAGCCAGGCCATTGTTCTGTGTTTTTTTAACTGTGCATGATATATTTTAAGGTATTTTATGTACATGGCCAAGAACGCACAAGATTTGTCTTTCGACGAAGTGTTATTTTTTCCGTGGTGTTTAGTTAGTTTGCTTTATGCAGTTGCAGATTTTAAAAGTACATGCACGAAGCGCACATGAAATGCACAGCATGCAGTGGTAGCACACCCTCTACAGTGTGTTTTTGTTTCCCCATCTCCATGCTGTTTTTGAAGTTTAGGGGCATGTATTATTTAAGAGTATTGTTTCTGGGATCTAAGTTGAAGCTACAAGTGGCCCTTTTCGCTCTGTAGAGGCAAGCCTTTTTCTGTTGGAAGACATGGCTGTGGCAGAGGAGTTATATGCCTGCTAGTTGCTGTAATATCGGCTACATAATACACAGGAAGATGTTCGGCGTATAAATATTTCAGTTCAGATGAGCCAGTCTGTTATACACAGATTTTCATGGACTCATTAACCATTTTTATCTGTAGCAATTATATTTTACAGAGAAGAATAAATACAGCAAAGAGGTTTTACCTTTGTTACATCACCATACCCAATTTCGGCTCCTTGTGCACTTTGTAGGCCAGTGGACTTTGTGTTTGTTGCTCACAGTGGTCCAACGATTCATTATTTGCACCACTTTCATTGTACACTGACCATTTCTATGATCATACAAGTTGAATGATAGCTCGGTGGGGGCTCCTGGATGTAGTCAAAATAGGGCATACTAACAGAGTAGCTTTACATTGTGAATCATATGTTTCATTTTCCCAAATAAGACATGAGCTTGCATTCACATCGACAGCAAAGGTTGGAAGTGCTTGGAATTATGTAGAAAGTGGTGAACATAGGACCTTTGGGCCTGATTGTGATGGCAGACCACGTCTTGCAATGTAGTACACCCTGTACAAAAATATGCATTACAGTCATCTACAACTGATGTGTGAAGTCCTCTCATTTTTCTTTCTTACATGGGGCCCCTATAAGAGGGCCACTTGGCACATAGGTCCCTGCTAGCTTGGCTGATGCATCACAAGTTTTTTTTTTATTTTGACATCCTAGGCTGCAGGTTGACACTCTGGCTTCTTGACACTTCTGATGTGGACTAAAGGGAAGTGCTCAGAATTTTGTGGTCAGTCCACAAGAGTTAATGTCAGTATGGCTTTTGGTGTCTTAAGTTTGATGATTTAGCAGTACAGTAAAAGCTCGTGAATTTGGATTTCACAGGACCGGGAAAACTGTCCGAATTAACCGAATGCCGAATTAACGAATGAACAGGGAAAACAACATTTAAAATAAAGCTGCAGAAGCATACTTTAATTTGTTGAAGTATTTTGTATTTGTCGTCTGCGTTTTCGCGCATATTCCGGCTGACATCACAATTTTTCTTTAACTGTTCCAAATGGCCAACAGCATGCAAGCTGTCGGGAGTGTTCAGGCAAGCGTCCTCTAATATTAATAGCGCCTCCGAGACTTCCCGTGAGGTGCGATGAGGTCGCGGCTGTATCTCCTCGCATGATTCTTCGTCGGAATCGTGGTCTTCATGGGCGCCCGTGACATCATTAATAATCTCTTGATCGGTCAGGAGACCACTCGTGGCGACACCATGATCAATCGTGATGTAGTCCTGAAAGGTCACATCTGTGGGAAGGACAGCATCGAAAGTCGGGCAGTCATCATCGGTGGACTCGGTCGGTGGACTCTGCCGCTTTTTCGGCGTTGCCATCACTGTAGCGCACGATGGTGGTGGCATGAAAATACGGTCACAATGGAAGAAAAAGAGAACTCCGCAAGAAGAGATGGTTCCGACACAACAACACAAGGGAAAATGGTGTCGGAGGTGCTGAGTGGAGAAGAAAGAAGACTCCGACGTTCGGTGACGCTGCGATCGCCCCCACTAGTTGATGATGATGGCGATGCCACTCAGTTTTCGGTTTCACTCCAGTGGTGCCAGCGCTGCTTTATCACACTTTTGTGTAGCAGCAGCCGTCAGCATTTGTCCGAATTAAGCGGTGCGGAGCCAAATTCCGAAGAAATAACGAAGGTTTGGTCTCATAGATTAACATGCACTTTGGCCGGGACCAATAGAGCCGTCCGAATTATCCGAATTTCCAAATTAACGGCTGTCGAACTAACGAGCTTTTACTGTACTATAATGTGGCCATGAGGCATATGGAGACATCCCTTTGTGAGCTCTGTTTCTTTATAATACATAAGGCAGAATTACCTATGCTTGCCAACAGGTATCTCAAACACCTAGTAATAACTTGTGCACACTCACGAAGTTTGGCACAACCAAATGAATCCAATTAACATTTCGGCTAAGGAAAGCATATGGGACATTACTTGTCCTAACTGTACTGTGTAGTAATTATATGACATAGATTGAAATTATTTAAAGTGAAGGAAAAATCACCCTTTCCATCAGTGCAATCCAATCTACAACCCTTGAAATTATTTCCCCTATGCTCTACCAATAGAGCTACAATGGAACGCGCTGTCTGCTCATTTTGGTGGGTATTTTTGTGCTTATAATCTTTGGAAGCATTAGCCAGTGCCACTCGCAGCCAAAATAACGATTTTGCCACACTTTGCTTTATTTTTAAAATTTTATTTATTTATTTATTCTCGGAAAGTATCGCATGGTTCGTGATATTTGCACATGGCAATAGCTCACCAATAAATTCTCTTCTTTTGTTCATTCTTCAAGTTTTATCATCTTCTTTAGGTGCGAATTATGATTCATTCTGCAAATGCATCAAATTCATATGGCATGATTTTAAGACAGCAAGTATGTTCCAAGAAAGCAAATGAAGGAATGTTTTTTTTTCATCTTTTAGCAATTTGTGTTAATTTGAATGAAATTAAGTAACTAATTATTCTGCAATGAGTCAGCTTCAATCCATGTTTAAGAATAATCAACCATTAGGCCTGAAATGCATGCACAGTTTGTTATCTGATTTTATTCATTTTGAGCAAATAAAAAAATTACTGTAGACGTTAGTCATGGAATGCGGCACGTCGAACGTGGTAGAGCCTCCACCAAAATGTGTGCAACAAAATGCAGCACAATGAAGTTAAATGAGTGTGAGTTGTCTACTCGGGATGCCTGCCCAAATGTGCTCACAGCGTCGTGGTGCGTGAGGTGCCTCTGAAGTTAATGTGTACTACACAGTGCATTGAAGAGGTCATACTAACGTGAAAGTGCGATTTTCAATTTAGAATGCTACTTACCAAAGGAGTATTGTCCTACATACATGACATTTGCTTAGTTATCAGAAGACCATGTTGCCTATTTACCATTAACACGCAGTACCAGAAGTGTCAGTCCTATCGGTCTGCTTGGCACTTCAATGAAGGACTGTTTTTATGAACAAGAATTCAACATTGTAAGATTAATTGACCTTTGCTATGCTATACTGAGCTAGCGATGGTACCTCTCTTACATTCACTATCACGCTTCACTCATGACCATAGAGTTCCGGCTTATTTCTGGGGTAGTTAAGGTGGGATTCATAAGCTGGCACCAATAAAGGAAGACAGTGAATGAGAACTGTCTGTCCAGTACACCATTCATTGCGTTCCTTCTAGCTGTCTTTCTTGTATGTCAGTCATCGTGGTAGCCTGCTAGCTCGACTAGTCAACAGTGGTGAAGTTTTTTTTAAGCATTTCCCCGTGATTTGTTGTCATAATGGAAAGGTTAAATGAACGAAAGCAATTGAAGGATGAATAGGGATGGGAAGGCAGCCGAGGATGGCAGAAAGTTATATAGAGCGATCAAGTGTTTTCAGAAAGGCTAGCCAGAGGGAATTTGGACCAAAAAAGGATGGACTAGATTCTACTACATTACAAAACCATGTAGTAGTTTGTAGCCACTGTGCTGACCTGATGACAAACGATATTTGTGCAAGCAACAGATACGTTCAGCATGTGAAGAGTGGTTTCATTCAAGTTTGGGGATCAAGTATGCAGCATCGCGCTGCCTTACTCGTGTTAGGCAGATTGAACTGCAATAGAGGAATGGGGTGTTTTGTTGTGATATTTCATTGAACTGTTGGAACATGATGAACAATACAAGGTTTCTAATGTAATTTTTTAACTATCCGCATTGGCTTTAGGTACATTTAGTTGACTTTAGGTACAGTTAGTCTCTTCGAATCTGTAATATTGCACTTGGGGTACGTGCTGTAAATATCCAAACTGCATATCATAGAAAAGCTTCATGAAAACAAAAGAAACTGATGCAAGTATTACCAGCACTGAAATGCACACGAGAAAGCCGGGGCATCTAAGCAATTCATGAGTGTAAACATGAGAGCATTACTTGTCGCAGAGTATTGATATAAAATGTTGCTGAGCCTCATAGATGAATTGTGTCAGATTGGTTGTTCAGTTGCTTGGGCCTTGCTTGCCTTTTGAGTTGTTGGAGATTAGAAGGGGGCTTCGGTGCCTCCCTATTATATTAATGTATGGGGCTGACTTCTCCCTCCCCTGATTCACATTATCCCCTCCCTATTATGTCAATGTGTGTGGCTGACCTTGACACAGGCACACTCCTATGGTGCAATCTGTTCAACTGTCTATAAATTTGAAATTTGTACACCCATGTGCACATCCTCTTACGGACAGTAACTTGTGCTTTGCTTTCCTGCTGCCATGACTTTTAGATGATGGTAGTCACCCAACGAGACAAGTAATGTTCTCAGTCATGTTTAAAAAACAAAAAGAATGCACTGAGCATTGTGGGGCTTTTACGTAAAAGCAAGAAATTTTGCTTCCTAAAATCTGAATGGCAAACTCTATACAAAATGGCAAAAACGTGCTCAAGGTATGACGCGTGCGTGACGTAACTTCTTTCCTCACCCCTCCCTAAGGTGCCTCCATGCGAGCGGGGGCAAGCGCATCAAGGCACCCTACCCCTCCCTGCTCAGCTTCCAGCGTGCTCGTCCGGACGAAAGAAGAGAATCAAAGCATGCGACAAATCTGCGGCTCCACTCGCATTTGGCAGTTTTTACAATTTTTCTTTTTGCGGCTTAATGCAGCCACTCCTCGGTTACCCCAAGTGTCGCAGGGCCCTTTTTAGCTACACAGGTAGAGATAGCGACAAGGAAATAAGGTCGCGTCACAAGGGCTGACTTAGCTGTTTGCGGCAACAGCGTTCGATGCAGAGAGCGTCTGCTAGCTGGGCACCGCGTTGGTGTAGATGCATGGTCGAAATAAGTTTGAGCGAACGCCGGCGCAGGCGGAGGAGAGAAGAGTTGGCGTTACTTTTATTCGGGGGCTTTATGAAGCCTGATCAGACCCCGCCCCTTAAATACGCCACTGCGGACTATATCCGAGATATCAGGTCGTGCGTTCTGAGCAGCCACTACCCGGAAATTTAAACTCACTACTAACAGAACGCCAGAAAACTGATCTCAGATATGTTATTGCCACTGTAGCTTCTCCTCCCCTCCTTAGAGCAATGTAAGGGGATGTGGAACTCGGCATGGGCCATCTTACACAAGATGTGCTAGAGGGGGAGTAGTCTACGAGATTCCTCTTACATGTGACCATTCTTATATAGGATAGACAATATGTTTGAATGAGCGCTTAGCCAGCACGATCGCAATGTTGAGCAAAATTAAGAAGGCTAAAATTTGCTAAGCATATTAGGAATCACCCTTCAAGCTTTTGTGGACCACGCTTTTTTGACGTGTGAGTCAGAACTTCTCATCGCTCTCTTCAACTTCTTGACCTCTTTTATACTCGTTACTTCATTAAAGAAGCTCTCTTTGTCTACGGACCGATTCGTTCTCTTTGCCCTGCAGAAATAATGCACACCCGTAAATGTCCAGCTCCGATATAACGAGGGCAAATCACTGCTGGGTTCGAGTACTTGCTCCACTCCGTCTTGCACTCGGTTGGCTCCAGCATCAGGGGCTGCCAGCGCAGAACTGT